GATTTTTGAGACGATGTTTTAGTGCAATTTGTGGTAACATCTTAGTTTAACAATTCACAGTAGTAACTACTAAGTGGGTCTCAGATTGTACAAGAAGCACTGCATTAAATTACATTTTCCCTGCCAAGTCTTTATAATATGAGCATTTATTTTACCCCAGCATATTCAATGGAGCTTCTGCGCTAACCTGCCAGTTCTAATAATAATAATAATTCCTTACATTTATATAGCGCTTTTCTGGGCACTCAAAGTGCTTTACACCATGGGGGGAATCTCCTTATCCACCACCAGTGTGCAGCATCCACCTGGATGATGCGACGGCAGCCATTTTGCACCAGACCGCACACCACAGAGAGAGAAGACAGTGTAATGAACACCATAACACACCACACACCAGCTGATTGGTGGAGAGGAGACAGAGATGAAGCCAATTGGAATATGGTGTATGGTTAGGAGGCCATGATGGACAGAGGCCTATGGGCAGATTTGGCCAGGATGTCGGGGTTAAACCCCTACTCTATTTTGAAGGACATCCTGGGATTTCTAACGACCACAGAGAGTCGGGACCTCGGTTTAACGTCTCATCCGAAAGACGGCGCTCACTGAGCAGTATAGCATCCCCGTCACTATACTGGGGCATTAGGACCCACACAGACCGCAGGTTGGGCGCCCCCCTGCTGGCCTCACTAAGACCACTTCTGGCAGCAACCTTGCTTTCCCATGTGGTCTCCCATCCAGGTACTGACCGGGCGCAGCCCTGCTTAGCTTCAGTGGTTGACCATTGGAGACTTGCAGAGAGCTAGCTGCCAGCAGTTCTGACAGGCGCATGCGAGTAAACAGCTCTGTCTCGTTTTACGCTTGAGCAACTAAATGAATGCTAAAATTTATTTAACTGAATGTATTTTAATGACATTACAACATCAATGCTGTGAAAGAACCGTATACAATGGAAAAAAGTTCACAATAACAGGTCACTGGAAGTTTATCAGTATGGGAAAAACACTAGCTCTGCAAAAATGGCAGTGCTGCTGGACACTTGCCCTCTCTATTTCAACTATTGGCGCTGCTGGTAATCCTGAGGACTTTAAACAGGTGAACAAAGCAGCACAGATATACGCAATGTGTCTGAATGGTAGCAAACTTAACCGATAAAAGACAAAGTCCACCATTCTCCAATTCTCATACAGCTCTCACGACAAATATGCTTGCTGCAAACCAACAGCTTTGCCCTGACAGCATCATGGGAAAAACATACAGCAAACTCTGTGGATCATGGAAACAAACACTTACGACTGTTCATGAACGGCTTAAAACTTTGTGCCATGCACGGGACGCACTCTCACAGCTTGGTAGAGCTGCTTTGCCTTCGGAAAGCACACTCTTTTATGAATAATTAAGAAGCAGGGTATTTTTATAGGATAAGAAAACTCTGCTATGAATAATAACGAGAAACTGACACATCATCACTGGATACAAATTATTTTTTTGCTTAGATTTTTTTGTCTTGTTTCTAGTCCAAATATCTAAAATTTCTTAAATCAAGAAGAATTTCCTAGACAAGCAAAACATGTTGTCTTGTTTTGAGAAATAATAAGCTAATATTAAGTGAGTTTTTCCTTAAAACAAGCAAAATAATCTGCCAATGGGGTAAGCAAATTAATCTTGTTTTTTCTTTTGGCGTAAGATTATTTTGCTTACCCCACTGGCAGATTATTTTGCTTGTTTTAAGGAAAAACTCACTTCATTTTGGCATATTATTTCTCAAAACAAGACAATATGTTTTGCTTGTCGAGCAAATTCTTCTTGATTTAGGAATTTTTAGATATTTGGACTAGAAACAAGACAAAAAATTGAAGCAAGGAAAGCATTTTTTGCAGTGTAGGCAGATGAGCACTGTCACTGATTTTAATCCCACTAAAAATATTTTAAACCAGAAAAAAATCAGCTAACAAAAGTTAAAAATTATCCAGTTTTCCCCACAATAAAAGCTGACAGGTGCTAACATTGTGCTAAATGATGCTCAACACACACAGATCTGTTAAAATCTCAAAATAGTACTCCAGGGTTTCTTGAACCTTTAATTTTTTTATGTTGAATCCACTTAAATTTGTAAAATCTATTAAGTTAGCTTAATTGATTTGTGTTTGCACAACATGAAGGAATTATGTGGAACCCAGCATTTTTTCAGTGATGAACCTGTTTATCCTGGAATGGCTGTAAGCGGTCATTTTGAGCGAGAAGTGTATGTTCCGAATGTTTATCGGTGCAGTAAGTCTTGTTGACTTTTCTAACGTAACTCCTGCTGGTTCCTCTGTAGAGTTTGTGATCCGCTTGTCTCCAAGAAGCTTGCTCTCTGTTCCTCTTGTGCTTTTCTGGCACTCGTCCTGCGACTCGTTCCTGAATGCTGACTCAGAGCGGCAGGCTGCAGTGCTGGAGATAAATGAAGACTATTGATTTCTGAGCAACACACGCATCGCTGGCTTGTTATCACTTGTTATCATTCCTCCGCATGCATGCAGTATTGTCAAATCCTTTTCCTTTATGTCTGCCATAACAAATGACGAGCTTGATGCTGATAAAAGTCAACACGCTTGGAGGGTTTAGTGCAGGATCTTGTTTTTGTAAATGGATGTGCGACGCATTAATATTATAAAGACGTTTTGTTTTCATAGACTACACACTTCGCTTACATAATAGCTCTCATGTGAGCAACAAATTAGTTTTGGCTGCTTTTAGTTGTAGTAACTGTTCAGGTGGTTTTCATAAAAGTCAGCATGACAGATTGAAAAGTTTTCTTGACTCAGAATTTTTAGTTTGAGACTTTAATCTGCTGTTTAAGTGAGTCAGTTCTGGCCATGATTCAGACTGATGATTCTTTTGAGTCAGTTCAAATTGCAGTAGTTTTTCAGATGTTTTTATATCGTATTAAAACACATTATATAATCATTCATTCATCATTTTTGCTTCGGCCAACTATTCAAACATATGTTTTACACAGCGGATGCCCTTCCAGAGGGAACCCAATACTAGGAAACACCTATACATACTCATTCACACACTCAAACTCTACAGCCAATTTAGTTTATTCAATTCACATATAGCGCATGTCTTTGGACTGTGAGGAAAACCCGGAGGAAACCCACAGGAACACAGGGAAAACAAGCAAACTTCACACAGAAATGCCAACTAGCCCAGCCGGGACGTGAACCAACGACCTTCTTGCTGTGAAGCGAAAGTGCTAACCACTGAGCCACCATTCCGTCCTATTGTATAAGCATAATTATTATCATTTATGTATATTGTATTTTAATTAACATATTTTTTTCCCAATTTTAAAAGTTATATTACAATCAAGTTTCATTGTGCATTTATAATAACATTTGTGTTAAAATATAAAAGTAAAATCATCAACATCAATAATTATAAGGTTTAGTGTATAATATATATATATATATATATATATATATATATTATGTAGATTATGCATGAAAGTTTAGTTATTTTATTATAAGATGATTTGTAATAGTTATTACAATTATTATTATTATTATTATTATTATTGTTGTTATTATTATTATTATTATTATTATTATTATTATTATTATTATTATTATTATGTATCTGTTATAACCAGTTATTTTTTTAACCTTTAAAATTAAAAGTATTTTATGTGAATTATACATGTATGGTTTTTTATGTTTTATTATCTTAAAACATACTTTGTGATAATTTTCTATCTTTCCCCATGGGGTTTCAAATATTTATGTTTTTTTTTTTTTTTTTTTTAAACCTTTGCTTTGTTTTGTTTTTTGTCTGGTTTATACATGTATCTGTGCATGTAAATTTTACTCGTATGCTTTTTGTATGTAAAGTGCTTTGAGATGCTACTTTTAAAGGCACTATATAAAGTGGCTTATAATTATTATTATTGTTATTAATATTATTGAAATAAATGTATTTTACATATAATTTAATATTTTTTACATATGCATGTTTTTATATATATAGTTTTTACTAATTTATATGAATTATACTAAAAGTAAATTCATTTTTAATATATGTTAATATATAACTTGTTTGTAACATGTAAAAATTTGTTGTGGTTTTTTTGTATAGTTTTACTTTTTATTGAATTATGTATTCAAGTATTTATTACAAAAAAAACTATTGCCATAAGAAAGTGCAGTAAAACACTGTTATTATTTAAATATGTACATTTTAATACACTTTATAATGTACATTTAATCTTTATTAATATACACAAATATTTAATCATTTATTTATTAATATACATTTTAATATACATTTATTCTTTAATGTAAATATTTTTATTTATTAATGTACACAAATATTTTATTTATTTATAATACATATATAATATTTATTATTATTATTATTATTATTTGAACTGTTATTATTATTAGGATTATTTATTATTAGTGTACATTTTTAATGCATATTTATTTATTAATGTAAATTTATTTATGTACACAAATATTTTTTTATTTTTATTATTTATGTATAATAAATACAAATTATTTGGCCAAATAATCCATAAATTATGTTTAGTTATTACCACTCAATCATAAGTTCTAAATATCTCTCCTGTATCCCCCGCAGGTCGTTTCCGTCAGACCGAAGTCTTGGCTACAGTGGCGAACGTCCTCTCCGATATTTATTCCCACGTATCTGGAAAACCCACAGATAAAATCGGCAATGGTGACATGGAGACCAATGTGCCTAATCCGCTAAAAAAGAGAAGCTCTGCTGGAAACTTTGCTAAAATTCTCAAGCGCAACTTTACGAAGCAGAACCTGCTGGCCTCCATCTCGGATGGAGAAACCAAACAGCCTAACAATGAGAGCTCCAACATGCGGGACGTTCAGACGGATACAGACCACAAAACACAACAGAAGAGCTTAAAGAAAAAGGATTCATCTTTGGCGACCGTGACGGAGGAGGCTCAGCAGAATATCTCTGATGTTTCGATCAGCGCAGATTTTACGTTGACCAATGGCGAGTCCACAGACTTGCCTCTGCCTCCGGTCCTAGTGAGCATCAGTCAGGCGTCTGAAGAGAACGATACCTCTGAATTGAAGGTAAACGGGTGCCATGAGGCCATCACGTCCACCCCAGATAAAGAGCCGTCCGGCCTGCTGTCAAACCCACACATCATCCACTTGCTCGACCAGCCCAGAGACTCCTTTGAGATGGAGGAGGTACAGTTCACTTCACCAAAACTATCAACTTTGTTGTATCCATTTTTAATGTGACTTAATGTTATTATTATAATCAAATATGTGTTGTTCATTCAAAATAATATTGAGCAGTCATACTGATATTACAACTACTTGTACTGTCTTAATTTAATAAAATTTACTAATTATATTAATAATAAAAATAATAATTATTATTATTACAGTAATAATAACAATGATAATAATAATAATAATAACAACAACAACAACAATAATAATAGTAATTATTATTATTATTATTATAGTTATTATTATAGATATTATTATTATTTAATGTAACAATTAGTATGGTTTTATTGTACATCACAAATAATTATGTTGTATAATTATTAATATAGTTTTATTGTATACAAATATTATATATATATTTTTTATATTATTTGTATTGTAAATAAATGCACACTTTACATGATTTTTGTACTGATCCCTACTAAATACTTTTATTATTAGAATTATTGGTCCCACTTTGTATTAAGTGGCCTTAACTACTATGTTACATTAAAATAAAAATATAATGTACTTACTGTGTTGAAGATGTATTGCAAAATGCGTCTGGTGCTTTTGAGGTGTGATTAGGGTAATGGTAGGTTTAAGGATAGATTAATATGTAAGGTATCATTCTAAATGTAATTACAGATATAATTATTTTTAAGTATTTAATTAAGCATTCTGTAAGTACAGTCCAAAAACTTGTATTTACTCAATAAGTATATTATAAAAAATTATTAACTTCATTGCAAGTACATATTAGTAAAGGCCCCTTAATATAAAGTGGGACCGAATTGTATTATTACAGTCAAATGGTTATTGCTAATGCATAATATTGAGCATTCATACTGTATATTATATTATATTATATTATATTATATTATATTATATTATATTATATTATATTATATTATATTATTTGCATTTTACTAATTATATATTAATTATCTAATACTATTATATTTGTTACATATGGAGATTTCTATGAAATGGAGGAGGTTTTCTTTAGCATTCATTTCACCAAAACAATCCTCCCAGCATCTCCTTATCCGGTTCTCATGCTGACAGCCATCTCAACTTCTCCAGAATTGTATTTTTATTTTTCGTGTGTGTGTTTTGTTGTAAAAACAGCAGGGGTCGTGACATGAAAAGCTAAAAATAAGTAGGGAACATGGAGCGCCTGGAGGATGTTCTGGGATTATGGTTGAGCCTTTGAATCATGGCTACTGGTTCATAATGTTCAGCAGTGATACTCAGAGTATAGCCGGGTTTCCATCCTAACATGAAGCGAATATTTTCAAAGTTTGCAAAGAAAGAAAAAATCCCAAATTTTCCCACATTAACCACATTAGGTGTGTTTCTATCTGTGTTTTTATCTATCTGTGTTTTTAGAGTGGATGACTGTAGTATTGGTAACCTAGCAACAAACAATTAACAAGGCGAGCATAATGGAGACAACTGATTGGTTACATGGATGTAATGTTTGCTACATCAGAGTTTATTTGGCGAATGCATTTCCATCTCATATTATTTACATTGAATCCTTTTTTTTAAACAAGCCCAAAACCTTCTTAAGTGAGCGACAAAACATTATTACGAAATAAGGGTATTTAATTCAAATAAAGTCATTATCTCTCTCTCTTGTTTCTCGTGCAATACCTTAAAAATGTGCATTAATACCGGGTGATGGAAGCCCAGCTAGTGTCTATCATGAGATTATGTATGACTCAACAGCATGGCCTGGAAAACTTGCATTTAAAGATAAAGTTAGAGGTTTTCCACATATGAAATATTTCATTATAGCATTAATTAAACATTAAAATTTTAAATTTACCATAACAACGTAATAGTTTAATAGCCTGCAGTTCAAGTGAGCAGGTAAATGATCTGAGCCATTTCTGTTCATAACTCCAAGCAACAAAATAGTTGATAATAATAATAATTATGATAATTATTGTAATAAATATATTATTATTGTTGTTGTTGTTCTTGTTGTTAATAATAATGATAATAATAATAATATTACGTCTAATTATTAATATCTGTTTTTTATTGTATATAATCAATTTATATAATTATTTAATATATACAGATTTATATTATTACTATTATTTTATTTGTATATTGTATTTGTTCTGTTTTACAATAAAAAAAGCTATTAATAAATGTAATTATTACCTTATTAGGATCTGTATTTGTTATTATTATTATTATTATTATCATTATTGTTATATATGTTTATATGTAATAAATAAATCTTTATCATGTACAATAAAAACTGTTAATTATAAATATATATATATATATATATATATATATATATATATATATATATATATATATATATATATATATATATTAGTATAATTATTATTATTAGTATCCGTTTTATTATTATTGTTATTATTATTATTATTATTATCTGTATTATCTGTTTTATTAAAAATAATATTGATAATTACATTTAATTCTGTCGTTAACAGTCGTTTATTTATTTATTTATTTATTTATTTATTTATTTATTTATTTATTTGCTTATCTTTATATACTATTATCTTTTTCTTTTCTTTTTTTTTGCCAGAGCAGCTGCAGGAAACATCACTTCCTGGAAAAAGTTACTTATTCATTTATCTCCATTTATTATAGTTTTTGTTGTTGTTGTTGTTGTTTTTTTTTTACTATAGCAGCTGCAGGAAACATTGCATGTTTATTATTGACTGAAAATGCCCTAAAGCAAATTTTGCCAAATGATGTTGATATTTGAAAGAACCAAAAACAAACATTTCTATAATCCAACAATACCCCCCCCCCCCTCAGATAAATACATACGCTGCTATAGATCAGTTCAATTCAAGTTTATTTATAGCGCTTTTTACTTTAATTATTGTTTTAAAGCAGCTTTACAAAAGGTGCACATTGCTGCATTATAATCAAATTAAGTTGAAGTTACAATCAAATAAGTTATAATATACATATTTACATATATATAGGTGATGTCTATGTGTACATTTAATGGTGTATATGTGTACAATTACTAGACATGCCTCTTTACTGCTGATTGTCTGCAAGTGTGTTTTTCAAGTGTAACTTAGTTCATTTAAGTATAAATATAAATAATATTAAGTATTTAAATACTTCAGGGGACAATTCACCCAAAAATTTAAATTGTGTCATCATTTGTGCACCCTTTAGTTGTTCTAAATCTATCTTCTTTTTTCTGTTAAACATAAAAAGAGATATTTTAAAGAATGTTAAGTGCTGGCACCCATCGACTTTCATAGTATTTGTTTTCCCTACTATTGAAGTCGATGGGTGCCAGCACTCATCAGAAGCTCAACAGAAGACGAATCATAAAGGTATAAAACCACAAGAAGGAGAATACATGATGAGGTTGTTTTAATTTTGGAGTGAACTATCCCCTTTAAAGTCATAATTCTCCCGAAATGTCAAATTCAGCCTTCATTTGCACACCTTCATGTCATTCTAAAATGACTTTGAACTTTTATAGTTTCATACATTTAAATCAGTGGGGTCTAAAGTATTTTTCTTTAGTATTTCTATTTATAAGAGTTCTAAGAGTCCAATATTTTTCTTCTAAAACGACAGTTTTGCTCTCAGGCTCCTGTGTGTAGTTCAGTCATCTCGTATTTACTGTATAATAATATATTGTTTTTGTTGCCTTTAAAGTGAATAAACTGAATATTAATATAGGAGGCTGAGAACATTGCTCATTTTAGAACAATTCAGATGGCATTTAGAGGCTTTTCGATCTGAACTCTTCATATATTGATTGTGTGTGCGCGTGCAAATGTACATAATACCTTATGGGGACTTAAACCTGAGTGCAGACATGGAGACATGTCAATTTCGGTTTCCACAGGTAAACATGCTCATAAATCATACAGAATGAGGTATTTTGAAGATGTAAAAGTGCAGATTGTTTCTTATGAGGGTTGAGTTCAGAGGTAGGGTTACTCTAAGGGGATAAAATATGTACACTCTATACAGTAGAAACATCATTACTTTACTGTACGTGTATGAGAGTGCCCATTAGGATATAAGAACAAGTGTGTGTGTGTGTGTTCTGCAGATGACAGAAAGTCATGCAGGCTAAGTAAATGAGGACACTGTGTGATTTGGGTGAATTTAAATGTGAAATGCTGAAGCAGTAACATGCAAACCATTTATAACTCGACTGTCTATTGCTGCTCTGTTTGTTTGAGCATCCCGACATGGCTTGATAACTTCAACTCCACCAATGGTGTGAGTTTGGGGTGTGACCGTCTGTTTGTCCAAACACACTTTTCTTTTACCAGGTCATTTTAAACGGTAGCCCTTGGTCTGAATGCATTTTTCAACACAAGCAGCGTATCTGACGTATTTTAAACTCATGCAACCCTCACATGTGATCTTTCTGTTTTTGTTTTTGTTTGCAGTTGCAGAGTAATGAGGATGAAACTCTTCCTGGTCCAGGCGGCATGTCTCGATCTGACAGCGGTAAGTGTAAATCAAATGCTGTTATCAGTCACCACACCAGGAAACTCTTATTTGTGTCAAAGGCTGTATGAAAAGTGCTCAAAATAAATATGTTGTTATTGAGAACTCGAATGGGGCATGAATGCATTTGAAAACATACCGTAATAGCATATGAAGTTATGTGATTGGTCTAAATATTACATTTTGAACATCAACAATGCTTAAAATGGTTTTAAAAATGAAACTATACATGCAATTTGGAAGTAAGCTGACAAATATGATAATGAAAATAGCAGATTAGTTTGGCTATGGGGTTGTTTATACCGTCACAATCAGTCGAATTTGGATTGCTGTTTTAGTCAAAGTGTTTGATTTGAGTTAAGATAAGAATATTTTCGGACAAATTTCCTCCTGAGAAGGCAGCAACCGTGCAGATCAGATCAGGTTGTATTTCCCTAAGAAAAACACAGAGGAGAAGATGTGTTATTCAAACACGCATGACTGTGATGTGTTTCATCATGCTGTGTTTTGGCCCAGCCCTAAAATGCTGAAGCGTAGTTTAGGTGGAAGTGTGTATCAAGTCTGCCCTCATGTGGCTGAATTCAGGAGACATTCACTGCTCATGTAGAGCAGGTAGAGCAGGAATGGGAGAAGGTATTTTTGTTTGTACATTTTTTTTAAAAATAGATAATGCAAAATATTATATTTGACTAGTATTATCAAAGAAAATATAAGGGTTTCCCTATATAGTGAAAAGGGGTTTCACTATAATCATGATTGCAGACATACTTCACACAGATGTCTAATTGATGCATGTTTTCATCTGGATTTTGTTCTTGTTTGTTGATAAGCTACATATATGTACAGTCAACGGCCACTTTATTAGGTACACATTCCAACTGCTTGTTAACACAAATTTCTAATTGCATGGCAGCAACTCAATGCATTTAGGCATGTAAACATGGTCACGACGATCTGCTGCAGTTCAGACTGAGCATCAGAATGGGGAAGAAAGGTGATTTAAGTGACTCGATTTCTGCTGCGACATTCGGATTTTAGGGTCAGAATTTGGCGCCAATAACATGAAAGCATGGATCCATCCTGCCTTTTATCAATGGTTTAGGCTGGTGGTGGTGGTGTAAGGGTTTAAGGGATATTTTCTTGGCACACTTTGGGCCCATTAGTACTAATTGAGCACCATGTCAATGCCACAGCCTACCTGAGTATTGTTGCTGACCATGTCCATCACTTTTTGACCACAGTGTCATAAAACTTGAATCATCTCAGACTGGTTTCTTGAACATGACAATGAGCTCCTCCACAGTCACTAGAGTCAATCCAATAGAGCACCTTTGGGATGTGGTGAAACTGGAGATTTGTATCATGGATGTGAAGCTGAGAAATTTGCAGCAACTGTGTGAAGCTGTCATGTCAGTATGGACCAAATTCTCTGAGAAATATTTTTCAGTACTTTGTTGAATGTATGCCACGAAGGATTAAAGTAGTTCTGTAGCAAAAAAAGGTACTAGTTAGGTGTACCTAATAGTTAAACACTTATGGGAAAACAGAAAAACAGCTTGTGATTTCTTTTGCAATTTTAAACTTAATCTAAATGATGTGATGTAACTTTAAAACTCATAAGCATTCATTAGTTAAACTGTCCTGGGGTCTTTTACCGCTGGGAAATTAGTCCAAGGCACTCAGTTTTGGTGTTTATATGTTTCTCCCTGCAGAGCGGTTATTGAGGACAGCCAGCCAGCAGTCTGACAGCAGCGGGTTTGCTGAGGATCCATCCACAGACGGTTCGGGTAATCACCTGAAGGTACGCGAGTGTGGGCATAACCATCTGGACTTTTTGCAGTGCGTGAATATAAAGAGTCTAATCCTCCTTGGACCCAGCCAAAAAGAGTTTAGAATTCAGTGTGCACTGATTTCATAAAAATATGAAAGATTCAAAATTGATTAAATTATTTATAAGCATGATGAACAGTGTATTAACAGTATTTTTCAAATAATGTTATTTGATTATTATATATGTATATTTTCTTTTTTAATTTTTGTGTTTTCATTTATGTTTCATGCTTTATTTGGTCATTTCTTTAGCACAGAAATCACCAATTCCATATATTTAAATACATATATTAGTTCTACAAGAATAGTTGGTCACACTTTATTTTGAGGGTCCGCTTGTTAATTTTAAGTTAAATTGCAACTAATACTCATTAGATTATAAGTAGAATGTTAGGTTCGGGTTAGGGTTAGTGTAAGTTGACATGTACTTGCAAACTTTTTTATAGTTAGTTAAATGTCTGTTGAAGGAGCAGTATCAGCAGATATTAAGCAGACAATCTACTAATACTCAAATGGACCAACAAAATAAAGTGCTACCGAATAGTTGGAAAACAAGAAGTGGTAGTTATCACAGAATTTGGTTTCCCTAAAAAATATTGAACATGTCCTCTTTAAAATGCACCATAAGTTAAAGTTTTGGTATGTGTGTTCCTTGAGAAATTCAATAAAAATATAAAACAAAAGCAAATGTCTGGGTCCCAAGAGGTTAAAGGGATGGTTCACCTAAAAGTGAAAATTGACTCATCGTTTTTCTCTCCCTCATATGGTTTTACACCAAGTTTATTTATTCTGTTGAACACACAAAAATATATATTTTGAATAATGTTAATTGCTGGTATCCATCGACTTCCATAAAGTGTAAAAAAAAATACTGTGAAAGTCGATGGGTTTCAGCTACCAGCAATTTTTTTTGGATAAAATGTTTTGTTAAATTGTAGAAAGAAACTCGGTTTTGAACAAGTTAAGGGTGAGTAAATGATGGCAGAATTGTCATTTTTGGTTGAACTATCTCTTTAAGAGCAGTGACTAAGTTCCAACAGCAAGTTTTCTAGGGTCCTTCCCTTAACTGGATAATGGAAGTGAAACTTCTCTCTTGATCTTTTTTTAGGTACAAGAGAGCTCAGACAGCTGTGACAGTGAAACCACAGTAACATCGCATGCTGAAGTCAGCACACCCATAGCATTGGAATACCCCAAGTTTGACAGATTCCCAAGTGAGGAAGTTCAGCTCTACCGAAGCACAACTACCCAATCTGCAACCAATCAAGAAGTCCATGACATCCCCAATCTCCAAATTCCCAATCCAAACTTGGACGAAATTAGCACCAATGGACTGCTTCTTTCTCCTGACTCAGATAGGGCATCTGTCATTGAGTCCGTTTCCACCATAGACTCTCAAGAAGGAAATTCAAACATGATGATAGATCATACAGTGGACTCCATACTGAAAGTAGCTCATGAGGGCAACTTATCCCAACCTAGTCTGGGCATAAATCAAAAGTCTCCTGAAGATCTACTGGAGCAAGACTCCTCATCAGAGCTTCCAGACTCATCAGATCTTAAGCAGTCCCACCTTACAGCTCAAAGGAGATCCATGGCACTCCACACAGGCCATCAAAGATCATCCTCAATGGAGGAGGAGCGTCCTGGCCGAGTGTGGGTGAGGGATCGGGGCCTGCTGAGGGAGAGCCAGGAGAGGAATCCTTTAAGGAGATCCAGCTCCCTCCCATTATCTTCGCTCAACCCGGCTCGCGTGGTCACCTCCATGCGCATCCAGCTTGGAAAAGGTTCAGTCAAGCACTGTACCCCGCCATCATACACATACCGCTATGAGGAAGACCATTGCAGTGACCGAGAAGAAGTAGACTCCATCTTGGAGGAGGATGAAGTGGATGGTTCGGGTGTCCAATCTGCGCTCCCGAACTCTGGATCAAAGATGAACAGAGGAACTTCACCACCACCTCCACCACACCCTCTCGATATACCCCAACATCTGGCTCGCTCCTCCACCTCGCTTTATAGCGTTCCCGCTGACTGGCCGCACAGGCCTTTGGGTGAAGGTACAAACTGGAGCGCTAGCGTCCCTAACCTTTCTCATTTTACAGCACCATCCCACTTTCCTCATCACGGAACCTTCTACTCTCCGCAACACGGAGTGTCCTACAATTCCTCATACCCATCTAGGCTTCCCTTCCCACAGTACCAAAACTCGCCTTGTCCTCCACCGCTTCAAAGCAACACATTTGTTCCACCACAGGGGGCACACTTTACACCTCAGAACAATATGCATTATGCTCACCCGCACAGTGCTCCCTACAACCCATTCTATCCATCTAATAACATTCCTCAAGGAACACCCTATGACCCATCGTTGAATATGCAAGGCAACCCGTACCCAAACCATGTCCCTCTTGCTCAATCCCACAGCGCCCCTTACAGTTCGGGATACAATGGTTCACCTCATCACCCTGCTGCTGTTTACAGCCATCCGTATTATCCCTCACCCGCCTACCCTTTCTCATTTGGGACGCCTCCTGCCCCTACCCCTGCGATGGGCAGCACAGAGATGCAGCTCAGGAGGGTCCTGCATGACATTCGTGGGACAATGCAAAATCTTGGTCAGGTAAGAGCTGTTAGAAATAATATACTTTATGTATGATATGTATGATTTATGTTGATTTCCTAGTGATAGGTTGCAGCTAGAAGGGCATCCGCTGCGTAAAACATATGCTGGATAAGTTGGCGGTTCATTTCGCTGTGGCAACCCCAGATTATTAAATTGACTAAGTCCAAAAGGAAATGAATGAATGATCTATTGATATTTTTAGAACTCTCCAAATTACCTCAGGCTATAATAATCCTGGTTATTAATGAGGTTATTTCTGGCATGCCCTTATTAGTAACTGTTACTAGGGCATTGTTGTTGGCTCTGTTTGACTCACTGTTGTTGAGTTGAGTTGACATTTTGTGTGGGCTGGGCTGTTTCATGTTGTTTACAAACGACAGGGGTTGGGAATCGCATCTCAAACAAGTCGAGGCAAGAATTAAGTTCAGTAGGAATGTTGTTAGGCACAAATTACAAACACTGCTGGGTAAACATGGTAATTAAAAAGACATATTGCTATTGAATAAAGTGTTTATTCTCACAACAATGTTGATTGTTTCAATGTTTTGTTTTTACTTCATGAATTATACACTGTAAAGATGTTTTTGTTTATTAATTTATTTGTTCATGAGAAATTACAATAATTTGAGTTATGCATATATTTTTTTTAATAATAATATAAAATGAAATCATGAAATTAGCATATGTATACATGTGTACACTCCATTATTCAAAATTGGTGTATTATAATGTGTGCTAGTGATTAAGGGCTAGTTTTTAATAAGAAGAACAGGTATCTGACAATGTTTGCATTAATAACTATTTTACAATATCTACTATTATATACCAAATACAAATAATAGGAGTTAACTACTATTATATAAAAAATATTAAGCTCAGTTTGAAATTTGCTCTAGTCAAACTGAATAGAATAGAATAGAATAGAATAGAATAGAATAGAATAGAATAGAATAGAATAGAATAGAATAGAATAGAATAGAATAGAAGAGCAATATCAAATGAGGTGCAGTGAGATATGGGTGTTTATCGACACTGGTGGGAGGCGTGCGCAGCCTCACACCTTAGTGTCCCACCAGTGATAATATACAGCCATATTGCACTGCTACGAGTGTGATGTTGCGTTTAAACAACAGTTCGATGGCATAATCGTGTATATAAAAAGAAACTCAAACACAGAGAGTCTTAAAATACTTTTGTTTGAGGAACTACTTTTTCCATCTGCAGCTGGCCGTCAGAACAGCAGAAACCGTTTCTAATTCCCCAACATCACTTTAGAGCTAGTGTTTGAATGATACTCTAGCATAATGTCTAAAGTGATGACACAACAGATGATTTTGCTCACATTTTATGATTATAAGGCTGAACAGCATGAAATGCCATCAGTCTACAGAGATTTCCCAGTGTTTCTATGTTGCAATCGGGAGATCACAATAATTAACCACCGAAATGGCCAAAGCAAAGCGAACACTAGCAGATTACTATGGTTTAAATATAGCACTACAACATACAAAAGAGAGTTTGACTTAGAAGATTAAGTTAGAAGGTCACTTACCATTTCTATAATGATTTGATTAGCTGTAGTTTGAAATTACACTTTTTTCTCCTCTAAGTACTTATTATGTGGTCTCTGTTGCCATCTTGTGGCAGAACGTCAACCGTCTTTGCTCTGCTCAGTATGACAGGCTGTTGGGTGATAACGCGCTGTCTTTTCGAAATTATAAATATTTAAAATCTGCATTATCTTTATAAATAAACTACATTGCTACAAACCACTACATTCTCGCTTGAAAAGCCTCTAAAGTACATTGTTGTCCATCGCCTGCAATATTTGTCAAACTGTAGTGAGTTTATTGATCTGCTGTCATGCTGCTGTCTATGTGGGCGGACTAATACAGAAGGGTGAGGAGGCTATATGAGTGCTGTTGTTGCAGAATATCACGTCCATCAGCCAATCAGATTCAAGAACCAGACAGAACTGTTGTATAGAACAGTGGTTCTCAACTGGTTTGACCATGGAGCCCACTTTTTTACATGGTCATCAACCTGTGGCCCAAATTTTTAGCAACGGTAATATAATTTTAGCAATTAAAATTAATTTGTATTTATTTGTTAACATCCACAAGTAGTGACAGATAAATCATAAGAAAATCACCAAAACTTTGTCAATGTCTCAAATTATAAAAATAATACAAAGTAAAAACAATAAATGTTTGGTTTCTAAAAGTGCTCTTGTGAGCGCACATCACTACATATGACACACTGAGGTTTTAAGCCTTTTTCATCAATATATATAAATCCATACTCTACATATTCGGGGTCGTACTTGCGCTTCGACATATTTGTTGCTAGAATTAAATGAAATTTCACATGTCAAACGGTACAGTTAACGCTCGCGCATTTCAAAATAAAAGTCTTATATAAGCAAAATAAGTCAAAAATTAAACATTTGTTGTTTTTTTGACCACACACTCTGCGACCCACTAAAAATGTTCCCGCGACCCACCAGAGAAACACTGGTATAGAATAGAATAGAAGTCAATTTTAAAATTTGTTACTAATAACAATTGTAAACTACTTACAATAAAATAGTTAAAAGGGACTATATATGTATACAGTTGAATACAGTTGTTGGTCTCATCAAATATTTCTCTAGTGATGTTTAACACAGCAAGGAAACTTTTACAGTATTTCCTATTATATATATTTTTGTTTTGGAGAAAGTCTTCTTTCTTTTAGTTTGTCTGGAATAAAAGCAATTTAAAACTTTATTTTTTTTTAAACAATTTTAAGGACAATATTATTAGCACTGTTATTCAATGACTTTCCTTGGTCATGGCAAAGACTAAAGAAATTAGTTATTTCAAATTAGCTATTAAAACTAGTATGTTTTTTAAAGGTGATTGAACAAAATTGTAAAAATATTTGGAAATTTCACAGAAGGCCTAGTAATATTAACTTCAACTATCTATAGCCCTTAAATTGTAATAACTGTTTTGTCAGTGCATGAAACAGAACAAGGAAGCATGATCCGGCTTCCTGTGAATTCCTCCCTCAATGCAAATAATCAGCAGAGTCAGCATGCAGCATTATCCTGTGCTCGGTTTAGACATGCTTTTCCTGTGTGACTCATAAGTCATAACTGATCTGTGGTTTTTGTTGGCAGAGCTCATCCGTGCATGGAGGAGACACACCCATGGACAGGATCGGCACACCGCGCTCCGTCCAACCGCTTTACGAGGTACATCATTTCCCAAAGAGGAAGCAGTCACATGCTAGTTTGATTTTTCATAACTTTGAGTTGCATCAGACTCTTACAAAACGCAGATGAACATGTAGGTTGTGCAAGAGTTTTTACATTTACATTTACATTTACATTTAGTCATTTAGCAGACGCTTTTATCCAAAGCGACTTACAAATGAGGACAAGGAAGCAATTTACACCACTAAGAGCAACAATGAATAAGTACTAAAGGCAAGTTTCAGGTCTGTAAAGTCCAAGAAGGGAAGTGTTAGTAATTTTTTTTTTTTTTTTTTTTTTTTTTTTTTTTTTTTTTGTACAGTTAGTGTGATATTCAAATAGGCAATTGCAGATTAGGAAGTGAAGTGGAGACTAAATAGTTGAGTTTTTAGTCGTTTCTTGAAAATAGCGAGTGACTCTGCTGTTCTGATGCAGTTAGGGAGTTCATTCCACCAACTGGGCAGATTGAGCGTGAGCGTTCGCGAAAGTGATTTTTTTCCTCTTTGGGATGGAACCACGAGGCGACGTTCATTCACAGAACGCAAGTTTCTGGAGGGCACATAGATCTGCAGAAGTGAGTGCAGATAAGAAGGTGCTAGGCCAGAAGTCACTTTGTAGGCAAACATCAGAGTTTTGAATTTGATGCGAGCAGCAACTGGCAGCCAGTGCAAACGGACTAGCAGCGGAGTGACATGTGCTCGTTTAGGTTCATTGAAGACAACTCGTGCTGCTGCATTCTGGAGCAGTTGAAGAGGCTTGATAGAGTTAGCTGGAAGCCCAGCTAGTAGAGAGTTGCAGTAATCCAGTTTGGAGAGAACAAGAGCTTGAACAAGGAGTTGAGCTGCATGTTCAGATAAGAAGGGTCGGATCTTTCTGATGTTATAGAGTGCAAATCTGCACGATCGAGCAGTTCTAGAAATGTGGTCAGAGAAGTTTAGTTGGTCATCAATCGTTACTCCAAGGCTTTTCACCATTTTGGATGCAGTAATGGTTGCCCCATCCATCTGGATTGAAAAGTTATGGTGTAGAGTCGGGTTGGCAGAAACTACAAGCATTTCCGTTTTTGCGAGGTTCAGCTGAAGATGATGATCTTTCATCCAGTGTGAAATATCCAACAGGCAGGCTGAGATACGAGCTGGAACCGAGGGATCATCAGGATGAAAAGAGAGGTATAGCTGGGTATCATCAGCATAGCAGTGGTAGGAGAATCCATGTCTCTGGATGACTGGTCCTAGAGATGATGTGTAGATGGAGAAGAGAAGTGGCCCAAGAACAGAGCCTTGAGGTACCCCAGTGTTTAGATGCTGTAGGTTGGACACCTCTCCCCTCCAAGACACCCTGAATGACCTGTCAGAGAGGTAAGATCTGAACCATTGTATAACAGTGCCCGCAACGCCCAGTGACTCAAGCGTAGATAGCAGGATCTGGTGGTTGACAGTGTCAAAAGCAGCTGACAAGTCCAGCAAAATGAGGACTGATGATTTAGAGTCTGCTTTAGCCAGTCTGAGATCCTCCACGACCGAGAGCAGGGCAGTCTCAGTTGAGTGGCCTTTCTTAAAGCCGGATTGCTTGTTGTCCATGAGATTGTTTTGAGTAAGAAAGTCCAGGACTTGATTGAACACTACTTTCTCCAGAATCTTGGCCATGAATGGAAGCAGGGATACTGGTCTGTAGTTTTCAAGTAGCGTATGGTCCAGGTTGGGTTTCTTTAGCAGTGGGGTTACCCTAGCCTGCTTAAATGTAGTGGGGAATAAACCAGAGTCAAGAGATGTGTTAATTATGTGAGTCAGTGTTGGTATGACTGCAGGAGAGATGGCTTGCAAGAGATGAGAGGGAATGGGATCGAGTGGACAGGTGGTAGCATGGCTAGATAGCACAAGTTTGGACACCTCAGACTCAGAGAGCTGAGAAAAAGAGGTGAGTGTGTGTGGTGTTGGTGTTGTATCTTGCGTGTTTGTTGTAGGTGCAGCAAATTGAGCACTGATTTTTGCAGTTTTGGTGCAGAAGAATGTAGCAAAGTCATCAGTAGTAAGTGTGGAGGATGTGGGTGGAGGAGGAGGATAGAGGAGGGAGGAAAATGTTTTAAAAAGTAGGCGAGGATTAGTGGCATTGTTGATTTTCAGACGGTAATACGTCTGCTTTGCAGAAGTAACCTCAGCTGAGAAAGAGGACAGAAGAGTTTGGTATGTTAAGAGATGTGCAGGATTTTTAGTTTTCCGCCAAATTCTCTCCGCAGCCCGAAGTTTTGAGCGATGCTCACGGAGAGCATCCGAGAGCCAGGGTGCAGGAGGACTGGCACGGGCTGGCCTGGATGCAAGAGGACATAATCGGTCTAGACATGATGCTAGTGTGGAGCAGAGTGTATTAGTGGCACTGTTCGAATCAAGTGCAGTGAGTTTGCGAGATGGAGGAAGAGAGTCTGAAACAATGGTGGATAGTCTATTGGGATTGGGGTCTATTTTTATGGATGATTGGTAATCTGGTATTTGTGTCCCTGCTGACTGCAGGAGCTCCAGATGCGGCGCAGGAGTCTGAATGTCTTCCGGACTCAGATGATGGATCTTGAACTGGCCCTCATGAGACAGCAGTCTTTGGTCTACCAGCATCTCAGTCCAGAAGAGAGGTCAGGAGCTCATAGTTTTTACCATCACAAGCTAGCGCTGCTCGATTATGGGAAAAATCATAATCACGATTACTTTGGTTATAATTGTAATCACTATTATTCAAAATGATTATCAGTTAAAGTCAAAATTATTCGCCCCTCTGTGAATTTTTTATACGTATAAATATTTCACAAATTATGTTTACAGAGGAATATTTCATAATATTTCTTATAATGTTTTTTCTTCTGCAGAAAGGCTTATTTTTTTATTTCAGCTAGAATAAAAGCATGTTTAAATATTTTGAAATCTATTTTTTTAGCTCAATATCATTATCCCCTTTAAGCAATATATATATTTTTGATTTAATTATCAGATGTTAGTCAGCGCCCACCCTTTTTTTTTTTTTTTTGGTCTGGTCATTGCACCTTTGCCGTGTGCTGTGTAAATGCAGACAATCAGACACGAGTCACTTTTAAAAGATAATGTAAGCAGGTCATCAAAAAAAAAAAAAAAAAAACTGCTAGTAGCATGCATTGAGGATTTTTAAACTGGGGTCTGATGACCAGTAGGAGGCCACAGTTTTGTCAAAAATGTATTAAAACGTATGAATGGCTTTACCATCCATCACGGGGATGAATTTTGTTAGACAACTGTTTATTTTATTTATTGTTTGTTTTATGATAATACTATTTTACTTTTCTGTAAAACTGAATGGCTTTACAAACTCAGCAGAAAGATTCCGGATGTAGCAATAAATTAATCGCCAAACAAAGAGCCCTAAAATGTGCAAACAGATCATACATACTAATGATATATCAGCATTTTAGAATGATCTCTGGCAGATCATGTGAAACTGAAGTCTGGAGTTACAGTGGTAAAAACTCAGCTTTGCCATATTCCATTGGGTTTAAAAAAAGAATGAAATTGAAAATATTCATTTTATATTATAAAACAATTTCACAACATTTATTTTGACACTGTTATAATTATTTCCTGTAACACTGAATGTCTGTACAAATTGACAACAATAAATTATTCACCAAACCGTGAGCCCTAAAATGTGCAAACAAATTATAGATGCTAATGATTTGTAAACATATTAGAGTGATTGCTGAAGAAACATGTGACCCTGAAGACTGGAGTAAAGATGAGGGAAATTCAGCTTTGTTACCACATAAAGAAATTGTAACAAAACTAAACTAAAATAATAAATAAAAATAAAAAAAGTTATAGTAATATGCCATAATTTCGATTAAAATTAAAATAACAAAAAACATAACATAAAATATAAAATGAATTAATTAACATTTTAAGCTTTAAAAATATTTTATAATTTATAATAAAAATACAATAAAATATAAATAACATAAATTTAAATAAATCAAATAATATTTTAAGTTGTAATCATATTTCATAATTTATAATTAAATAATACAATACAATAAATCAATTAATATTTTAAGTTGTAATAATATTTCATCATTTATGATAAAATAAAAACAAAAAAATTTAATTAAATTTAAATAAATGATAAAAAATAAAATAAAAAAAAACAATTAATATTTTAAGTTGTAATAATATTTCATAATTTAAAATGAAATAAATATGCCAATAATAAAATTAAATAATAAATAAAAAATTATTTATAATTCAAGTTTTTATAATATTTCTTATTTTATAATACAATGATAAAAATATTAAAATGTAATTTAAATGAATAATAAATAATCAAATAAAACAATAAATACAAAACAAATAAATCAATCAATTAATATTTTAAGTTGTAATAATATTTCATAATTTATAATAAAAAATACAATACAATAAAATAAATAAAACAAGAATAATATAAAAATAATAAATAAAGATAAATAAATGTATATTTTAAGTTGTAATCATATTTCATAATTTATTATAAAATAAATACCATTAATGAAATTTAAATACATAATGCATAATAATAATTAAAATAAATAATAAATTAAATTAAATTAATATTTTAAGTTGCAGTACTATTTTATAATTTAAATAACATGTAATTTGTGTAATATTTCAACATTTCCAATATTATTTTCCTGAACCACTGCATGTTTGTACAATGTAAGAATGGTTAAATGTCTAAAAATGAAACATCAAACAGCTAAAATATGTTAATAAGCATACTAATTACTAGATTAATTACTAGACTAATTCTATATCAGAAGTGAAGTGCTTACACAACCACTCGTGACCTTAAAATAATAACAAAAAAAATGTAATTACAGAGTATTTGAAGTTATACAATAGAAAATAAAAGAAAATGTAAAATATTTAAAGTGCTGTGGCTGTAGAAAAAAAGTACAAAGTGTACAAATATAAAAGAGAAACATACGAACATACAAAATATAATGACCACCACATTGTTATTGGCTAATAATTCTGTTCAACTATTGGTTTTCTGCATTAAATCCAAACTCTGAGTGACTTGCACTTTAAGTAAACTTGTATTGTTGTTTGGGATGCTGCAGGCGGGAGGCAGAGCAGCTTCAGACGCTGCGGACTGCAGTCAGGCAGGAGCTGCAGGAGCTGGAGCTGCAATTGGAGGATCGGCTGCTCTCTATCAATGAACAAATGCGCAACAGCTCGCAACACATCGGCTTCTACCGACACCACATGGTCAGTGGATGCTACTGCAGTTGCTTAATTATAAATGATGCATTGTTATTTAGACCTATGTTACTTTAAATATTTGAAGTGTGTATATTAGCAGGTCTGTTAGCAAAAAAATAAACTCTTATTTCTTATTATAATGTCTGAGGACTAGAGAGATAAATATGAATTCCATTCTGCATGATGTTTTGAAAACCATGAGCAGATATTAATGTGTTCAAGTATTAGCTAAATATTCAACAAAATCAACTATATGGATCTTTTAGCAGGCACTACAAAGCACATTTCTTGTTTATTATTATACTGAGGACTAGAAATATAAATGTAAACTCTGGTCAGCATAATGTTTTCAAAACCATAAGCAGATATTAATGTGTTAAAATATTAGATACATTTCCAACTAAATTAACTGTTTATATAGTGTTCATTTGATGTAAAGTTTTGTTCATACTATTTTTTTAGCAGCATATCTGTCTTTAAATAGTGATTAATATTTCATGAGCTACTAATCTAAGCATAAAAATGTATTTAAAATCTTACCAACTCTAAACTTTTGAACAGTAGTTTGATTTTGTTCTGGGATGCACCAAAATGAAAATTCTGGACCCAAACCAAAAACTCTGGATGCACTTAACCTAAAACAGAGCAAAAATCATTTTTAGTATATATATATATATATATATATATATATATATATATATATATATATATATATATATATATATATATATATATATTTTTTTTTTTTTTATGATATGTAAGTCAAAGTAATTTTTTTAGACCTTTTAAATTTAACTCAATCACTGAAGAAGTTGAGAGGTGTCATTTTAACAGTGCTTTCATGACGGCACAGTAACTCTATTGCAAGCAGCAGGAACAAATATACTACATATAAATGTCCTGTCAGCATGTCATTTGACTATAAGAGTATAAATATAAATATAATAAATATACAGTTGAAATCAAAAAAATTATAAGCGCTCCTGTGAATTTTTTTTTCATTTTAAAATATTTCTCAAATTGATGTTTAACAGAGCAAGGAATTTTTTACAGTATTTCCTATAATATTTTTTTCTTCTGGAGAAAGTCTTTTTAGTTTTATTTTGGCTATAATAAAAGCTGTTTTACATTTTTTAAAACCATTTTAAGGTCAATATTATTGGCCCAAAAAACGTTTTTTTTTCTATTGTCTACAGAACAAACCATCATTATACAGTAACTTGCCTAATTACCCTATCCTGCCTAGTTAACCTAGTTAAGCCTTAAAATGTCACTTTAAGCTGTATAGAAAAATTAGAAGAATAGAAGTATGTATTTTGAAAAATATGTAGTAAAATATAATTTACTGTCATCACGGCAAATATAGAATAAATCAGTTATTAGAGATGAGTTATTAAAACTATTATGTTTAGAAATGTGTTGAAAAAACCTAAACAGAAATTAGGGGGAAAATATAGTCAGGGGTTAATAATTCTGGAGGGCTAATAATTCTGACTTCAACTGTATGTGAATAGCACACAAGCTAGTTAAGGTTGCACTCCTCTGCTCTTGTACTTTGGTGGACACATCAAAACACGGTTTTTGCATGATTATTGAAATGAATTGGTTTCATAGTGCAGAGATTTCTGTGTCCAGTGTGAAAACCAGTTAACATGGTCAATAATATTAGCCCTTTAAGCAGTATTTTTTTTCGATTGTCTACAGAACAAGTTATCATTATGCAATGACTGGCCTAAATAACCTAGTTAAGCCTTTAAATTTCTTTTTAAGTTGAATATTAGTGTCTTGAGACACATGATGTAATGTCATCGTGGCAAAGATAAAAGAAATCGATTACTAGAAATCAGTTATTAAAACGAGAATGTTTAGAAATAAATCTTTCCATAAAACAGATTGGGGGGAAAATATACAGATAAATGTACATAATTCTGACTCTACTGTATATTTCGTAGGGCATGCACAGAGGTCACAGCATGGAAAGCCTGTCTAATTCTTCAGCACTGAGGGCCATGGAGCCGGTGAGTGGATTATTCTCATGTTTCATGCCTTTATATCACATATCATCAGCATCACCTACTCTCAATTTACACTAACACGTTATATCCCAATCTACAGGTGACGGATCTTCTGAAGGAGCAATTGTACCTTCAGTCTGAGCTGGCATATGAGGCTGCAACCCCCAGTTCAGGCCGTTCATCGAGGGCGTCCAGTCCTGTCAGATTCAACCGAACACTGGAGTCTTGCTCTCCATCCCCACAGAGAGCCAGCGTTTACCGGGCCACCCTCAACCTCATGCCCACCCTACCTCCACGGCCGGGGATGGAAGCTCCTCGGGATGTTTCTCCTGAGAGGATGGAGTCAAACCCGACACCCACTTCTCTGGAGGTCAGCAGAGATGAGGACGAGGTGTCACTGGATGGTCATGGGAGCAGGACGGCCGAAGATTGCAGTCCCACAGAGTGGAGGAGTAGAAGTAGAGGAAATGGAGACCTGCAGCATCTCATAAAGGAGGTGAGAGATCCTTCCACTGACGTGGAAGTCATCAAATTTGGGTGAATCTTCTATTGTAGGGCCCTATGATTTCTGCGATTAGGAAAAATCTAGATCTGTAGGTATGCATGTATAATAAATATGTGTGGGAGAGTTGATGCTTGACAAAGACAACAGGTATCAAGAATATTTAATACTTGAAAAGTAGTGCTGGCAAAACATCAATCATGATTATTCGGATCCAAAATAACAATTTCCTTTGACATAATTTAGGTGTGTGTACAGTGAATATATAAATTTACAATTATGTGTATATAAATATACACATGCATGCATATATTTGTAACCACAGGGAGGTCAGGTGACAATGAAGTGAGGAGCTACACGCAGGTTTCGTAGTCAGACAGGCTATGGTCAAAGACGGCTACAAACAAGGAAATCTGTAGGCCCTGTCAGGTAACCAGCAGATGGTCGATACAGGCGGCAGACAGGGTAAACGATAAATCAAAGCAAGGGTCAAAACACTGAGAAACTAAACCAGTACTTGAGCAGCTCCCAGCTGTGTGTGAGTAATCAAAGGGGAATAATAACAGGTGCGTGTGGGGTGCCTGAAGGGAGTTGTAGTCCATATGGAGACAGGATTGTAGTTCTCCAGCGATCTGTATGGAATAGATTGCTGGTGAATGTGACAAAACACCCCATATTGAAAATTAATATTTTGATCCAATTCTCAGTGAATATGGGTAATATATTTTGGTGCATTTGAACAAAACAGATTTATTAAACAGATAATTATTTAAAAGAATTTTTATTCACAGAACATCTTTAGAAATAGAAAAAAAATACATTTTAAATTCAAGCAAAAAATTGCAAACTACAAATTTTCCACAAAATTATTATTATTTTTTTTGTTTCTGTTCAAATTTGCTTTTGAAAAATAATATCTTTCCCTAACATATACATTTAGACTACTAATTTTGGACCGTTGTCGTAAGTTATTTTGTTAGATAAGCTCCAGATTTGGCTTCAGTACTGACTAATCTAATGTATTCTAGAGAATGTCCTATAGAAAATTAATTATTTTTCATGATTTGTGAGGGGTTTACAGATATATGTTGAGCACTGTATATATAACACACACACACAGACATATCAAGACAAAACAAAGTTTTATCTTGGAAGCAATTAATCACGATTACTTTTTGCTCACCACTAATAATAAGATAAACAGCTGTAAATGAAGGCGCTATATATATATATATATATATATATATAATATTTATTCATTTATTTATTTATATATATATATATATATATATATATATATATATATATATAATATTTATTTATTTATTTATATATATATATATATATATATATATATATATATTTTTTTTATATATATATATATATATATATATATATATATATATATATATATATATTTATTTATTTATTTATTTATTTATTTATTTATTTATTTATTTATTTATTTATTTATTTATTTATATATATATATATATATATATATATAGAGAGAGAGAGAGAGAGAGAGCGAGAGAGAGAGAGAGAGAGAGAGAGAGTGAGAGCTCTTGGCTAGTTTTTAAAAACACACTCGAATGCTCATGAGGAAGAGCGCATGAGTCAAGCAAGTTGGCTTTTATGCCACAAAATTAATGTAAACACAGCTCACTATAAACAATCTTGTACTTTTCCTTAATTTTTTCTTACTTTATTCATTTATCAATCGATGCAGAATCTATTTCTTAAATGATTTTTCGCAGCAGCTCTAATGTGAAATCAGGGCAGTGTAAATGTTTACAGTTGAAACTTAAAAACAGTTGAAACTTAAATGATGGAATTGTGAAATCCAGTCAAGAAAAAGGACCCGAACACAAATTAATGTCCTATTGGAAATCGGGTTAAATTTCAGTTTTATTTAATGAAAATGTACAACTGAAACAATTAAAGAGTGGGGAAAAATAATAATTTCATATGGTTTCATATGATAGAGCTCTACCATTGTAATTAAATGAAACTATGACAAATATGTAATGTATTTCTGAATTGCTTCATGGTAAAAGATTAAGCAAACAAGGCAAAGGTGAACTAAATCAGCAACAAGTAAGAACAAGAGAACACAAAAGAGATCAGGAATACTTGCCTGAAATAAACTTCAGTCTAAGATCCTCTGAATCAAAAAAAAAAAAAAGGTTTCGGGCTGATAAGGGGTTTGTTTTGGGGTAACAGCCACATTAGCCTACTTTTTCACACTTTTACTTGCCACATATATAAAATATTGATTTGAGTTCAATTATTTTTTATAAGCTCATTAAACACAAAGCTAATGAAAAGAAAAGCACTTCTCATTAAACAGCTTTAAGTCTAAATGAATTAACAAATTACATTTTTAAGGCTTAATGTTCAGTAATATTGCTCATTGCATAGCTTTTCTACATTTAAACAATTATATGCACGCTTTTCAATTAGTCAATGTTACCCAAAGTCCTCTGGTTTAATTTTACAGTTATGCTTAGACAAAACAAAACCGAGAGTGTTCGAGCATTTCAGAAAGTCATTTACTGTAAATGTGAACAATATCAGAAATCCAAGTGCCACTATTGATAATTCACAATTGAGTCCTCGAAAGAGACTGTTAGGCCCAATCCCAATTCTACCCCTTAGCTCTCATAGGGGTGTCCTAATTTTCTTTAGCTTGAAGGTGTATGGCTAAGGGGAAGAGCAAGATAGCTAAATAATTGATGTGGGGAAATAACTGAGATTTTCCAGGACCACACTAGAAACCAAGGGGTACAAAAATGTCCCAGAATGCACTATCTACAATGGCAACATGGCTGTATATGCAAGTCAGGAGATGCACAAAGTAGTATTTTTTTGGCATTATTAAGACTTTTTACAACACACAAGCATATGGTGTAATACATTCATGATGGCATTTGTGTTTTACAGTCATGCTTTTTTTATATTTAAAAAGATACATTTCGATATCTATAATCCATAATAACAACTCCTGTATAGTAGTCCCACAACATACATCACATCTGACACTCAATGACACTCCTGTCAGAAAAGTCTAGAGTTATTATTACCTTTATACAGTGTCTGGTGTAACATTAATGTTGTTTTCTTGTGTTCACATTGATGAATAAGGCCATGGTGTAAATACACAGTACAGTTGCGATCTTATTGCCACATCATATCGTTATGAAAACATGATATTGTTGCCTTCAGTGATTTCCTGAAGATGAAAACCAAACAATAACGCAACTGGAGCAGTCGCCGTCGTTAATCTCATATGAAGAGCTCGTGATGACATATGATGACATGTGCTGGTGTTGTAGTGGTGTCCCATTTCTTAAAGCTAAATTTTGAAGCCCTTCTCCTTCACACTCTGTTTCAAGGGCCAATGGGAAGAGGTAGGGATAAAAAACCTAAACCCTTTAAGGCAGTCCTTGAAGGCGCCCACTGTAGGGTGAATGTTTGCCAAGACTTGACACTTCTTAGCAGGATTGAGCAATAGATATATACACACAGACGGATAGATAAACACACGGATAGAAAGAAAGAAAGAAAGAAAGAAAGAAAGAAAGAAAGAAAGAAAGAAAGAAAGAAAGAAAGAAAGAAAGAAAGAAAGAAAGAAAGAAAGAAAGAAAGAAAAAGAAAGAAAGAGTTGGAATTGGGCCTTCGATTCTTACAAACAGTCTAGAAATTATGCTTCGCTAATCCTTCGGACACAAAAGCAGCATCTATTTTGTGCCCATTTTTGAGAGAAAGTGGAAAAAACATGTTTGATGTTTTTGGCTCCATTTGAGAAGTTCTTTGTAGCCATAATGTTTTGTTATTTTGTGGTGTGTCTGTGTCACGATTGATGGATTTGCTCTTGAAATATCAGGCATCAGTTTATGCTGACTTACAAGCCTGTCATGATGGACCAGCAATTCTGAAGCTTCTGAAGGGGAAACTTGGACGATGTTCATTGCTTATAGTCGCCTGGGTAAATCCAGGGAGTGATGCAACAGGCTGGCAAGACCTGATGTTCCTCATCTGCGTCTTAATATGTATTTGACGCTTCACAGTACTGCCAGTTCTTGGGGTTTCATTTATGGAGAAACTGCAAAAAAAAAAAAAAAAAAAAAAAAAAGAAAAGAAAAGAAAAAAAAAACATGTTTGTCATTGATGCTGTATGACAAGTTTATACATATCTGTTCGCAAAAACAGTGCTGCAGAGTAACTATAAGTTGTAACCTTACTATGCTTCACTGTAGTAAGATAGTAGTTTAATAAGTTAAAGCAAAATTATCCAGAAAAATTGTTATATTTGAGTTTGTCACACTATGTCAATAATGCGTTAGGGAAATGAACACACACACACACACACACATTTGTTTTTGTGTATTTTGGGTATGTTCCATATAGGTTTACATTGATTTAAAAATATATTTTTTATACTTTATTTCTACCACCCTACACCAACCCTATCTCTTAAACTAATTCTCAGAGGAAACTGTGTACATTTATACTTCCTAAAAAAAAATAATTGTATGATTTGCTGTTTGATTTATTTAATAGACAATATATTATATAATTAGTTGCTTTGGAATGCAACATGCAGCACAAATAAAAACAAAAATTCTCAACACTTTCATCGAAATAAACAGATTCAAATAAATTATTCAAAGATTTAAGTCCCTGCGTAGCATTTTACTTCTTTTTTAGTGTTATTCTCCTGTGTTTAATGTGGTCTAACATAACTTAACATTATATGCAGAATAAAGACATTATATTATATAATAAATTACTTTGGAATGCATGTTGCCTCACAATTAAAAAAAACAACAACAACATTTCATCGAAATAAACAGATTCAAATAAATTATTCAAAGATTTGAGTCCCTGCACAGCATTTTACATCTTCTTACTGCAACTTTAGTGTTATTCTACCGTCTCCTACCCTCTTTAATGCGGTCTAACATACTGTAACTTTACATTGTATGTATCATCCTCCAGATTAAATAGGTTTTATTATATAATAAGAAACTTTTAAATCATGCAAGCTGTAGCACATTTTAAAAAAGCTCATTATTTTTATCAAAATAAACAGATTCAAATAAATTATTCAATTATTTGAGTCCCTGCACAGCATTTTACATCTTCTTTCTGCATATTAAGTGTTATTCTCTCCTTTAATGCGGTCTAACATAACTTCACATTGTATGTATCCTCCTCCAGATTAAAGAAAGCATCGCACATGAAATCCGGCAGGAGATCGTGAATGAGCTTCTGGCTGCCGTGTCGCCACACAGATCTCCTCTTCCAGCAAGGCAGCCCCCTGTGTGAGCAGCATATAACAGAGGATGGAGGTTGGTTTTGATGGATCACATTAGGCTCGGTACAAATCTGTTAAGTGCTTGAAAACAGTTTGTCTAACAGGTAACGGGAAGAGATATACTTCCCTCTGTTAGACATGATTTGTTTGGTTTGTATATCGGTTTTGCAGTAAGTAGCCCGCATAAAATATAAAGCAGCGACTGCAGTGTGTAAATGTTTTATATAACATAATCTCTCATGCCGTTTTATGTCTACATATCAATTCAGAAACTGCACTGAATATTAAAGGATGGTAAAAACACTGCAGAAAGATCACCTCCTGTAAAGCTTGTATTAATGCAGTATACAGATAATGTACTGGATCATCCCTTTACTATTATCATTACAATACTGAACATAACTTTCCATTTACATTATAATGGATTGAATTTCTAATCTTTTGGTTTTTCAGGCTCAAATCTTAACATTTTCATAAGATCTAAATTACATTTTGCTTTATTTTATTGCTTAAAGTGACAAAAACAAAGCTGTCCTTAAAGGTGCAGTATGAAAGTTTGACACCCAGTGGTTGAACTAGATATTGCACACCTGGTTCAAAACACATGCAAGCACAGGTTGGCAGATTGAGGACACCAACAGCATGCAATAAAAAAAAATCTTATCCATATTAAAAGGAGTTTTTGTTCAAACCAACATCTAAAATGTAGAAGCGGCCTCTATTTCTTGCAGCTGAACAACAGAAAACTGACAATGATCACCTCAGGTACACCTCATGTGCTTTATTCAGGGTTAAATGGTAATAATGTGAGTTTAAATGAAACTTTAGAACTGTGATTCGATGTAAAATGTATCAAATCTCAGTGAATCAGCATGTACATTTAATAATGCTAAATTATATATATATATATATATATATATATATATATATATATATATATATATATATATATATATATACCTTACATTTTCATTGGAGTGCAGTAAGTGCACTATTGTGTACTTCTGAAAGGCTGTATTTAAATTTCTGTCGTGTTTCCTTTGCTTATCACTGAAAATCATGTCATGTGATGTGTTGTTAGAACATGGGGTTACACGGTAACCTGCTCACTTAATGTTTCCATTCATATTATTTATATTATTTACTACTTAACAACCACCTCATGTGGAACTCTGAATCTACGTCTCATTTCAGAGGCTGCTACTGTCCACCGGATGTCACGTTTTGGTCATGGGCGCACATAAGGCAACCAGGGGTGCTGAAATATAATTTGCTAAACTGGCATTGGGCTGGTTAAATGACTAAAACAAAGACAGATGGTTCAGCACGTAATGCAAATTTTCAAAGCAGAATATCTGACTTCAGCATTGTTTTTCAGAAAAACAAGATGGTTTAATTAGCATGTTACTTATATATCTGCAAACATAGCATGGTATTTTTATGCTTTAGAATAGTCAAAAACTTGCATACAGCACCTTTAAAAAAAACCTTCTAACACTTTAGCTTAGGTCACAATTCATGCTATTAATTAGGGATGTCCCAATCAGGATTTTTTACTCTCAAGTCCGAGTCATTTGATTTTGAGTATCTACCGATACCGAAGACCGATACAATACTTAATACATAAAAAGAAACAAATCCAGGATGTTCCTTCTTCTTTTTTTATTAATTCACCTTATTTTAACATTCAACAACTCTGTTAACAAACAGAGAGCTTCTGCAAGGTAGCTTGAACAATCAAGTAATAAACAACATAAATTAGTTACTTTTGGACTTAAGTGCAACAGTAAATATAAAAAACAAATCTAATATAAAAACAAATAGCACCTCAACTGAAAAAACCCAGCAGGCAATGGAAAAACTAGGTTATTTTTTAAAGTGGGGCTAGTGAGGCCAGCAGGGGGTGCTAAATCTGTGGTCTGTGGGAATCCTAATGCCCTAATGCGCCGTCTTTTAGATGAGACGTTAAACTGTATAACCCTGGTGTCCTGGCCAAAACTATCTCCATCGGCCCTTACCGATCATGACCCCTCAATCATCCCCATCTCCAGCACTGTCTCTCCACTACACCAATAGCTGATGTGTGATGAGCGCACTGGTGTCGTTGTCCTGTGGCTGCCATGGCATCATCCAAGTGGATGCTGCACACTGGTGGTGGTGTGGAGAGACCCCCTTCATACTTGTGATGGCCATACCTGATAAATGTGCTATATAAATACACATTACATTGCATTAGCCAGCCTCTCCAATTGGTCCTGAGTGCATGTTTGTTTCTATTCTCATTGTTTCTTTAATCGATATCACTTTGCTTCCTTTAGCAGGTGAAGACGAAGAAAACCCTGTGAAATAGTCACAACGAACACTGGTTAAAGCTTTGCACTGAGAACGGCCCAGCACCTCTCTCTGGTTCTGCCTGTGAAGCCCTTCCAGACTCCACCGCTTCAGGGAATCTGCTTAAACCAATCCAGATCCCACATTTACCGCGGTTGATATCGTCCAATTCCACTAAAGGGGCACACAGCTTACTGTGGTATCTGTCTGGTACATATTATGGAAATGTAATGAATCTTTTGGGATGTATTTAAGTATGTGATGCAGGTCTTGTCGGATGTTTGCAGACTTGTCGGGTGATTCAAAGTTTTCTGTGTGAGTGCGTCTTTGTCTGTCTAGGATAAAATGTCTACTGTAATCAGATTTGTTTTCTAATTCAGCCTCTGTGAGGAACTAACTGTGCAATACATTTAACTCTCTATCTTTCTCTCTCTCTCAAACTTGAACTGACCAATCACAACTACTGTTCTACCCAAAATGCACACGGCTGTCTTTATTTCTGTTGATGGTCTATCACATACTGTATGTGTAGATGAGACACTTAAAAGCACATTCATAAACATAATGTCCTGTGAGAAGAAAAAGCACTAATTTCTCTTTATATACAAGTATATTTACACACACTAGCTAGCACGCCTTTAAAAGATATTGTTATTCTTGTAAACAGCAGTGGATGGTCTGTCAGATCTGCTGTCTTCTGATGAGGATTTAAAGCGTTTGACTTGAGTGTGAATGATTTTTTTTTCTTTTTTTTTATGTCTGAGCTGTAATGAATTGTAATACTAATTGATTTATGCGACTAAGGGGATGTGTTCCTTTTTCGCCTGGGATGCATGAGGGATAATCTTTAATGCAAATCATTAATAAAGATTTATTTATTTTGTTCATCACTTGTCGAGTCTTTAATTCGTTGGTGTGTACAGTTGAAGGCAAAATGGTTAAAAATGTTGATTGTTTGTCAGATATTTGGGAAGTGCTGAAAAAAAATTCTGTTAAAAAAATTATTAAAAACTGAGGTCAAAATTATTAGCACTCTTAATTTTTTTTGTGATTGTAAATATGTTATTAACTATTACTTCTAAAACTGTTCAAAAAATAATAATTATCTGTTAAAAAGCACTAGAGAAATGTGTTTAAAAGAATGTTTATACTCCCCGGCCACTTTATTAGGAACACCTGTCCGACTGCTTGTTAATGCAAATATAAGCAACTCAATGCATTTAGGCATGTTGACATGATCAAGACGATCTGCTGCAGTTTAAATCAAGCATCAGAATGGGGATGAAAGGTGATTTAAGTGACTTTGAACGTGGCATGATTGTGGGTGCCAGAAGGGCTGATCTGAGTATTCAGAAACTGCTGATCTACTCGCATTTTCAAGCACAACCATCTCTAGGGTTTACAGAGAGTGGCCCGAAAAAGAGGAAATATCCAGTGAGCGGCAGTTCTGTGGGCGCAAATGTCTTGTTGATGCCAGAGTTCAGAGGAGAATGGCCAGACTGGTTTGAGCTGATAGAAAGGCAACAGTAACTCAAATAACCACTAGTTACAACCGAGGTATGCAAAAGAGCATCTCTGAATGAACAACACATCCAACCTTGAGGCGTATGGCTACAGCAGCAGAAGACCACACCGGGTGACCCTCCTGTCAGCTAAGAACAAGAAACTGAGGCTACAATTCATACAGGCTCACTAAAATTGCACAATAGTAGATTGGAAAAGCATTGCCTGGTCTGATGAGACTATTTTTGCTGCATGATTCGGATGGTAGGTCAGAATTTGGCGTCAACAATATGAAAGCATGGATCCATCCTGCCTTGTATCAACGGCTGGTGGTGGTGGTGTAATAGTGTGAAGGGATATTTTCTTGACACACTTTGGGCCCATCAGTACCAAGTAAGCATTGTGTCAATCCTACATCCTCGCTGAGTATTGTTGCTAATCATGTCCATCCCTTTATGACCACAGTGTACCCATCTTCTGATGGCTACTTCCAGCAGGATAATGCGATATGTCAAAAAGCGTGAATCATCTCGGACTGGTTTCTTGAACATGACAATGAGTTCACTGTACTCAAATGGCCTTCACAGTCACCAGAACACAATCCAATAGAACACCTTTGGGATGTGGTGAAAAGGGAGATTTGCATCATAAATGTGCAGCCGACAAATTTGCAGCAACTTGAATTTATGTTCATAAAGGATTAAGGCAGGGGTGTCCACACTCAGTCCTGGAGGGCCAGTATCCTGGAGAGTTTAACTCCAACCCTAATCAAACACACCTGAATCATCTAATCAAGCTCTTGCTAGATATACTTGAAACTTCCTGGCAGGTGTGTTGAAGCAAGTTGGAGCGAAACTCCAGGACTGAGTTTGGACACCCCTGGATTAAGGCAATTCATTTACTATTACAAATATGAAAAATGAGATGCAGTAATGTCCATTATGCAGTAATATTACTTTGTAATTATAAAAAAAAGCTAATTAATTTACCATTCTTCTGTTAGTAAAACTGCATTGATTCTCACCTGTTCAATCCTTTATTCTTTTAGCAAACTGGCAAAGCATAACAAACCTTATCCATAGACAGACAGACAGACAGACAGACAGACAGACAGACAGACAGACAGACAGACAGACAGACAGACAGACAGACAGACAGACAGACAGACAGACAGACAGACAGACAGACAGACAGACAGACAGACAGACAGATAGATAGATAGATAGATAGATAGATAGATAGATAGATAGATAGATAGATAGATAGATAGATAGATAGATGGACGGACGGACGGACGGACGGACGGACGGATGGATGGATGGATAAATAATCAATCAGTCTGTCTATCTATCTATCTATCTATCTATCTATCTATCTATCTATCTATCTAATACAGGCTCGATGTTATTTCAGCTGAACTCCATTTTCTCAGTTACTCCATTTTCAGAACTGCTTACTCTTCTGCGCTTAACATTTTTGACGCGGGCAGCGATGTTAATGGCACACTCCTACTGCAGTGTTTAGCCAAGTATGACGATGAAAAATACCTGTGGGTCATAAAAATTATTTTGATACATAACTCAATTCGGCCCATCGTTACCATGGAAACATATCTCGGAGATAGAGGTTGGCGGTAGAGTGAATCTGATACTGTGGGCTCGCTTGAATGGATTCAGAGGGCGGCCATTAACATGAAAAGGCTACATTAGACCTGAGGGATACTGATATGTAACAGAAATGGGTTGAATAACTCCACAATCGAGTGGGATTGTCATTTTGAAGTGTTTGTGTTGGTCCAGTAAAGTAGCAGAAACTGCTAGCCTGAATAAGAAAAGAACTTCTGCTATCTATCTATCTATCTATCTATCTATCTATCTATCTATCTATCTATCTATCTATCGCTTATCATCTATCTATCTGTCCATCCATCCATCCGCCGCTATATTGTTCTACCTGTCTATCATTCAATCTATCATTTTGTCTGTTTCTCTTGTTTTCTCTGTCAGTTTGTCAGTCTGTCTATCTATTGTTTTAAAATTCTGTCATATCTTTCTATAATTCTTCTATCTATCCATCTATTCTGCCTCTCTCACTATGTTGTTTTTGGTCTATCCTTTGTTGTTGTATTCTGTCTGTCATTGGATTTGTCTGCTATCTATCTATCTATCTATCTATCTATCTATCTATCTATCTATCTATCTATCTATCTATCTATCTATCTATCTATCTATCTATCTATCTGTCTCTGTCTGTCTGTCTGTCTGTCTGTCTGTCCGTCCGTCCGTCCGTCCGTCCGTCCGTCCGCCCGCCCGATTGCCTGCCTTCTAACATTCTCTGTTGTTCGCTTTTATCATTCTATCTATTAATATTTTTTTCCTTTTGTTCTTTCTTTCTGTCTGTCTGTCTGTCCATCTTTATCTATTTGTCTGTCCTTCTGTTTGTCATTCCAATCAAACATATGTTCTGTTTGTCATTGTCTGTTGTTCTGTCTATCTATCTGTCTCTCTGTTTTTGTTTCAAGCATCCATCCCTCTGTCTGTCTGTCTGTCTGTCTTTCTCTCTGCCTGTCATTATATAACAGAAAAGCTTTAATAACTTGAGGATTGAGTGAGAATTTCATTTTGAAGTGTTTGAGCATCTCAGCTGAGTCCACTGAGCAGCATAAAGGTGTTTGTGTTCACCTACACACAACAGAATGAATAGTCAGGGAAAATTAACTTCATTACAGATGCTATTGGATTTCACTCACCGTCACATCTAATTGACGGCACAGAGCATGTTTCCCAAACACTCAGTCTCACTTTTCTTTCTCTCCTGGCCTTATAAGAAAAACACCTTTAAATACAAGGACACGGTTGTACTCGCTGTCCTTGAGTGTTCTTGAATGCATAAATGAACTTTTGGACAGGACAGTCTGGCCTTTCTAATGACATCATGCTTCTTGCTTTTTCATCAAAACTCAATGCATCATTGCTTTTGACAGCTTGTGTGATTTATTGCGCTGAGCGTGAAATAAAAGCATATCTGTTGAACCTTATGCAACGGTCTGCCAGACATGGGTAATAACACTGGCTGTTTTGTGCCTTCCCCATTAGTTATCTTGAATAATTTCAAGTAATTTCCTCCCTGATGTTACCTGTGATGAGCGTCATAAGGTCAGGTCTCCATTTATAAATGTGTGGCAGTGATGATGTTGTAAATATGAAGGTGGTACTGTTTGTTCCAGAGGTGAACCGGGTCACCTGGTGTGAGTTCACTTCTGCAAGATTCCTACACACCCTCTTATTTTCCCAGGCTGATCTCAGGTAACACTGGCTAACTCCTGAAAATAATGCACTGTTTGTGTTTAGCAACTGGTGAGAAATAGAGAACAGCTTGTTTCCGTTTATTAGGTCTTTAAGGTAGTGTGCTGGTTAAAAGTAAACGTTAACTTTAAAGGGGTGGTCCACGACGATATCATCTTTTAAACTTTAGTTTATGTGTAATGTTGCTGTGTGAACATAAACAGCATCTCTGAAAGTAAAATGCTCAAAGTTCGATGCAAACAAGACATTAGCTTTTACAGAGTTAGCGTAGCAAAGCCTTTGGAGGCTACAAAAAATATATCTGGGCTAGTGAGATCATAAATGTTGCCAGTTACGCACATTCACCAAGCGCACACCCTGCGCCAGGGTAGCTGTAATGTTCTAACAGAGAAAGCTAAAATGCTGTCCATGCTGCTATTTCCACAGCTTCTGCTGTTTCTGTATTTGGGCTTCCAAAGGACACTACAAAGAGGGAAGTGCTTACAGTTTAAGGTAACACTAAGGTAATTTTGATGGTCCATTTGAGTATTAGTAGACTGCTTTCTTAATATCTGTTAATACTGCTCCTTCAACAGACATTTAACTGACTATATAAACTTAGCAATTACATGACAACTTTACACTAACAATAATCTCAACACTAAGCCCCGTTTACACTAATGCGTTTTCGTTTTAAAACGCATAAGTTTTGCTACGGTTATGCCATCCGTCCACACTACGCCAGAGTTTTCGAGTGCTGAAAACAGAGCACTTTGAAAACGCTGAGGAGGCCATTTTCATTCTAAAACGCTGCTGCTCCATCTCAGTGTGGATGGGAGAAAACAGAAACATCTGAAAAGGGAGGAAACATCTGATTGGGGCTTTTCCTCAATATTAAGTAACCTAACGTTACACACAGTTCAGTCATACATCCTCTTCTTGTAAGTTCGCAAGTTTGATCAAGGCTGCAGTCTCCCCCTCCTCGGTTTGATATGGAAAACATACTACCAAGGACATGGGTAAATCTTCAAAAGGGAACAGTGTACTTTATAACTTCATTCACATCACCCTGGCTACGTTGTTTCACTTTCTCAACAAAAAAA